GGGCATGTTTTATTTAAATGTAATTTTATATGTAAGCCACCTTGATTGTCATGGCAAAAGGTGGGATATAAAAATAAAGTATTATTATTATTATTATTATTATTATTATTATTATGAACACAACAAGTATACAAATTCTAGATGTGAATGATTTTCAGTGTCTCATTCCTACAATGCTAGAAATTTGGAGACTGGAGGGGAAATTCATTCAGGGGGAGAATGTTTATTTGAAGGGGGAAAACCATCATTTTATACTACCACTATAGCTATGCTCCTGATTCCCACATGAAAAATGGGGTTCCAGAGTGTAAGGAAACCCAAAGGAGAATCCTGAATGGACAAGTTCACTACTCAGGACTTATTTTTCCCAAAAAACACACTTGAGGAGTTTGGTACAGAAAACAGCATTATTAATTATTGTTATTTTTTGCCCAAAAATATTATAGTCTAAACAGAAAGCAAGTTTCCTATGCAGAAAGCAAGATTTTCTGTGCTGAAAAGTACTTCTGTACAGAAAATGCTGTTTTCTGAAGAGGGAAAATGCATGTGTCATCAGCAAGATCTCAGCTCTCTCTCTAGGCCCCCTAATTCTATCACTTCCAAACTGCAATGTGAAGTTTTCTCAGATCTGCATACACCTACCTGTTCCCCTTAGCTAATGTGATCTTCCTCAAGTGATGACAATGGCTGCTTCCTTTAAAACACTCAAGAGGCCAACTCCTAAGAGTTTTAAAAACAGCCACCTGCCTAATAGAGGAAACAGGGGGTTATAAAATATTGTGCAATTTTGTGCATGTGTGTGTATATGCATATATTGTGTGTTTTTGTTAAAAGCCGAACAAATTATAATATTAAAAGCTGTCTTATTGAATAGCAGATTCTAGTAGAAGGGAATGCTGTAAAAGGTGGGAAGTTAGTAGTAAAGGTTCGTGGGTGAGCCCATATAATAATCTCTGACACATAACAGGCCCCCTGTGATATTTGGTTCCTGAAAAACTTTGAACAGCTAAACAGATTGCTCCTAATCATGAAGGTAGTGTGCTATTCATTAGTATATTTCAGTACATGCATGCAAACTGTAATATACACATGCCCCAGAGTTTAGAAAATTACTTAAAAAGGAGTTAGTACTGGGTTATTATTCTCAGGCTGCCCAAAGCAGTTGTTTTTATGGCTACAATTTTTTTTTAAAAAAAATAACTATTTGCATTTCCCCCCCAAAAAAGTAATCCAAGTAGTTGATTTGCTTGAATGAACCTGATTTTATTTTTTTCATTCAACAGAATAAGGAGCAGCACCAGCTAACATTTGAACCATAGGCTATTTCCAGAATTTTTCACTATTCTAAGCCTTGGATATTGCTCCTCTATCAGGTAGCAAGATCACATCTCTGCAAAAGTAACTTAACGTAACAATTCACAAATTAAAACTGTAATGAAATGCATTTATATCTTATTCACTGAAAAAAGAAATTATATACAAGAAACACATTATTTTGTATGTGCTATAGTATAATGGACACATGGTGTTAGGTGAGCGTAACTTGTTTAAAGAGTAGCAAGGCTTGAAAAACATCCCCTCCTCATTCCTAATATGCTTTTCTCCAGAAAGAATTGGCAGATGTTGGTCAAACTTTTTTTAAAAAATAGAAGGATTACCCATTTTTAACTCTCCACTAATTTTGCATCTTATCACTAATTTATTTGAAGCACAGTGCCATGTCTAAGCAAGACAGATAGACCCAGACAAGACAATGATTCAGATGCCCATGTTACAGAAAGAAAGTTGTGTTTTGCATTTTAACATGTTGTACCCCACATCAAGCCTTGAGCAGAAGCAGGAAAGAAATGTTGTTGTTGTTGTTATAGTTGTTGTTGTTGTTGTTGTTGATAACACTACTACTATTTGTTATGCTAGCTGAGCTCATGGAGAATGGGATCAGTACCACTGAGAAAGTAGTGGATATCTTTCCACCTACAATTCCTATAATATAGTGAATGTAAAGTAACCATTACCATCACATTACTGAAAAACAGTGGTTACTGCTCAGTAGCCTTCATGCTAGGTTTGTTGCGTGTTGCCAAGTTGTGTTTGACCTATGGTGAGCTAAAGTAAACCTATCACAGATTGTTGTTTTGTTTTGTTTTTTGCAAAGTTTGTTCAGAGAGTTTGCCATTGCCTTCCTCTGATGCTGAGAGAGTATACCTAAATGTGTTTCCCTGGCTAAGTGGAGATTTGAACCCTGGTCCCCCAGAATCCAAGTTGCTACACCACAGTGGCTGTGCAGTGTAACAAAATGTAATCCCATCAGAATACCCAAGAGTATGCTGCATGGGCATCAACATCCTGCTTGAATACAGAGCTTGGGAGAATGACTTACAGCAGCACTTGTGTTACTTTGCTTGTGTTATTTTGCTTCTTAAATTTAACATTTTATTAATAGTTTAATTGTGTTTTAACTTTTGCATATATATTTTTTATTGATGTAAACTTTTATGTGGATCTGTTTTAATTTCTGTAAGTTGACTTGATCTCCAGGGCTGGGGAAAATAATAATAAACAATTTATGATATGTAAAATATATAGAGAGAGCCAGCATGGTGTAGTGGTTTGAGCACTGGACTACAATTCTGAAGATCAGGGTTCGGTTCCCTGTTGTTGTTAACTGCCCTTGAGTCAATCTCGATTCATGGCAGCTCTATGGATGAGACATCTCCAAGACCTTCTGTCCCCCACTGCTCAGCTTAATTCCTGCAACCCCTTAATACCAATGACCTCCTTAATAGAGTC